ACAATGGTAAACTACTTTGAAAATATATCTATCATTCATCATAGCTAGGATGTGATCATATCTGATGAATTATTGATAATAAAAAAACCATCACTGTATTAATTTGTATAGAAAGAAAAATTATCAGACTCGAAAAGTGGAATTAAGATAACAAAATAAGAGACATTACATTTCAACAAATGAAATATTCTGGAAATATAGAAGTACTTAGTAGAAATCAAGAAAAAGAAAGTACAGTTCAGAGAAAACACTGAATTTAAAGTTAAATTTTAAAATATTAAAACATACTAATAGTTACAGAAGTAACTAGTATCATTTCCAAAAAGGAAATAAACTCAGAAAAAACTTAAACACTGTTCTTCCATCATTCATTAAAGTCTGCAACATAATCACTTAATACATAGAATATAATAATTTTACTGACTTTATAAAGCTACTGAAATTTCTATGTCAAAATTTAGAGGATAACCCAACAGACCAACATGACTCATTTGAAAATGTCATTTTCCTAAATATTAGCAAATCAAATTTTAAACTACCAATAGGACAGTCGCACTTGGAGAGAAATGTACTCCAAAGGACAGCACGTATTTCTTCTGAGGGGTTATTGGAAGGATTCTGGCCACGCCCACAGGTACTCAGGAAGTAGTCCTGGCTGTGCTCAGTGGTCACTCCTGGCAGTGCTCAGAGGATCACAGGTGCTACTGAGGATTGAACTCGAGTAAAGATCTATTAAAATAATGAGTTTTATAACTTAATTTTATTTTTTAATGAATCACTGTGAGGTAGTTATAGATTTGCCAACTTTCATGCTTACGTTTGTCATACATACGGGCTTTTTTAAAGGTAAGGAAGATAACGATGGGCAGCTGAAGTTTTTAAGCATTGTTAAGTGCATTTTAGTTTATTATCTGCACGTTATTCTATTATTTCAGAGTACAGTTTGCTCATGGGAATGGTTTACTTTGGCTCTTTATCAGTTAATTAGCCTTGCAAATTTACTGAGTCTTGAATATGCTTTTCAACTACTTAATGAATACCTTTTATAGGATAAGCGTGAATATTGTCTCAAAAATTACTAAGTGTTCTGGTAAAGGACATTGGGTTTCACAGATACTAACAAAGGGTGATGCGTGTCTGTGCACACTGCTAGGTGACTAGTTTACAATACAGTGCGGCTGTAAGCCTTGGATTAGCTTGGGTCACTTGTCAGGCTATTTATGTATTACATCAAACTCTGAAAACAAAGCAAGTATTAATGGTATTAGACCAACCATTTAAACCCACATAATTCAAGTCTATGTAAGATGAAAGTAAAATTTAAATATTTTTAATATACCTGATTCTGTAAGTTCAAAGATGGTATAATGCTGAAAGTCCATTACATTATCACCAACAATTCAAATTAAAAACCAGCTATAGAGTCTTATCCGGGGCACCCCAGAGGGGGATGGGTGAGCAGCCCAACCACCCACCCAACCAGAGCCCCAGCAGCCAAAACCCTCCACAGTTCACAATCATGGCTATGCTCAAGGCTGGACTACACCACCACTCGGGACAAGCCTCATCCAGATAATGATCTGTTGAAAAAAGCAGGTATGTGGGTTGTGTGACCAAAATCTCCAAGCTCCCATGGAGTTGGGGATGGGCTACCTCCCCGCATTTCCCTGTTCTTCTGGGAACCTGGCAGCCACGCCCATGAACTGCCCCTGGCGCCATACAAGCTCATTAATCAACCATGTTCCAAAGACTCATAAATAAATCTCAGAAGAGATCAAAATGCTTTAAGGATGCTCCAGACCCCAGTCACCATCCAGTTAAATTTTAACTCCAGCTGCATCACCCCGTTCAAAAATTTTAGAATTCCTGGCGTTTGCAGTTGTGTGACCCCTCAAACTCTACCATCACTGATATACCAGGAGCAGCACACAACAGTAGATAGGATGTAAAGTAGTAGACAACCAATCTCAATTAAACTATTAACACACAGGCTTAACCCGTAACAATATGTTAGCAATCGCTTATATAAGGATTAATGACTCCACAGCGAGATACAACAATCTTCACTTTCTTCTAAGAAAACTTTTTTGATCATTTTTAGTGAACTATTCATAACAATCTATATAAAATTAATTATTTAGGGTCTGCTATTGGGACAGGCTTGAGTGAGGCTGGGAAAATTGGGAATAATAGTGATGGGAAGGTGCAACGGTGGTGGGACTGGTGTTTGGATATTTAATTATAACAAATCATCATGAACCACTTTATAAAAATAATTTAAAAAACAGCTATAAAGTGTATTTGACAAATACACAATACAAACAGCAAATACACAGAGCCACTTCTAATTCAGATTTTTTATAAACTAAAAATAGAGGCATATTTTTTCTACAAAAGAACTCAAAACAGCAACCTACACATTATTCTCACACAAACTCTAAAAATTAAAAACAAAATCAGAATGTGTACTATCATCTCTGCTATTTAACACTGTCCTAAACATTTCATCAATAAAACAAAACATGCAATGGAAATTTAACTATGAAAAGACACAACATTCAACTCAAGATCCACAGATAAAATCAGCGTATCACCTTAAAAGTCCTTTCGGAAAAGGAAAAATACCAAGCAACTAAACACCGGAAAACATAAATACATGGACAATCAGAATACCAAACTATTACTGTTCTTGTCTTTCCATGTGTCCCCATCAAGTTTGCATCTTATCCTAGTCTGAGTCACTACCACTGTTTGCATTATGGCAGCTGTTTGTTACATGAACCAATCTCCCAATCTTTTAATATATAATATATTCTAAAACAAATATGATGACATTTCTTTATAATATTCTCTTAGCTTCGTAGCACAGTCTCAAATTCTTTATCATGGCCTTAAAGAGGAGTGATAGCACAGCGGTAGGGCGTTTGCCTTACAAGCGGCCAACATGGCCGACCCGAGTTCGATTCCTCCGCCCCTCTTGGAGAGCCCGGCAAGCTACCGAGAGTATTGGATATGCCAGGCACAGTAACAACAAAGTCTCCAATGGAGACGTTACTGGGCCCGCTCGAGCAAATCGACGATCAACGGGAGGGCCTACACAGCCAAACTTTATTCAGTATGTTTGTTTTAGGGCCACAATCAGGTGCCCAGAGCTTACTTACTCTTATGCTCAGAGATGATTCCTAGTAGTGCTGAAGGACCATATGTAGCACAGGGGAACAAACCAGGGTCCACCAAACGCCTTTCCCACTGTACTCTCCAGTCCCCAAATGTCATTCCCTTTTTTTTTTCCTTTTTGGGTCAGCGATGCTCAGGGGTTACTCCTGGCTCTGCACTCAGGAATCACTCCTGGCGGTGCTCGGGGGACCATATGGAAGGCTGGGAATCAAACAAGGCAAACGCCCTAAGCCCTACCCACTGTGCTATCTTTCCAGCCCCACAAATGCCATTTTTTACACTAACGTCATTGTCTTCCTTTATGCCCACCTAACAAAGGACGTACTGGTTCATTCTAAGTTGCACTTCCTTTGAGATCTTCTAATATGGATTCTGATAACGAGGATGCTTTCTCTAAGATGTTAATCACATCCTATCTTAACTACCTCCTCAGAGCCTTTTTGGTCAACCAACTCAGGTGGCAACCCAGTCACTATCATCCACACTCAATTTGAATCCACTCCACTGAACCTAAACTTGAAGATCTGATACTTTTTTCTACATTTATATAAGTTACCCCTAGTGTCACCTTTATGAGAACAAGAACTTTTAGCAATTATTCACTTAAACAAATGTACCTAGCATGTAAGAATTACTCAGTAAACATAAAGGTGTTAACTGTCTGTCAGTCTCAATAGGTTTTAAGTTCCACAAAACAAGGAACATGTCTATTTTACTGTTTTCTCCAGAACTCTTGACAGACACCAAGTACAGTAGTTATTAAGTATGGGATGAATGAATGGGTGAATCCCACTCTTACTTTAGTACCCGGTACTTTGTAGTTGGCAAACATTTTTGGTGAGTTTAACACAATGCTGGCCTATTCTAAACTTAATCAGTACTCAAAAAATTTCATATAAAATTGTTAAGCATCTAATCTTCCCACGTAAATTCATTCTCCAAACTCTTGTGTGGCTGTTCTGTGAAAATACATGCAGAACTTGAGAACAGAGTTTGGTAGGCTTAAAACTAATCTTCAAAATGCCTTTGGGTTTTGGCTTTTGGCTGTGCCCAGTGCTTATTCCCCGCTCTGCATTCAGGGGTTATTCCTGGGAGTAGTCATGAACGTAGGACCAGGAATCGCGTCATTTTGTCATAGTCCAGGAAACAGCTCCAAGGCCTGAAGCATAGGTCCTATATACAAGGTTCTACAGGTTTAAGCCTCAGCGCTGCATTGTCCCCGAGCACCAACAGGAGCAATTCCAAGAACAGTTATAAGCAGCCCAGAAACACCACCAAAACCAAAACATCTTTGTCCAAAAAAATGTTTACTAAAAGATAATAGGGAGTCATAGTGATAGTACAGTCAGCGAGCTGCTTGCCTGGCATACAGTCAACTGGACTACATCCCTGGCATCCTTTATGACCCATTAAGTGCACCAGGAATTAGCCCTGAGCTGCCAGGCATGGCCCAACAAAGCCCTCCCCGCCCCCCAACCACCCCCACCGCAAAATTAACAGCTCAAATATTTTTGAGTTTAAATCTTGAGTCAGTTTTAGATTAGAATTTACATAGCTAAGCAAACACAAGACCTCCACTAAAATATTGAAAATAAAAACCCCTGAGGTATTAAAAAGTGATATTTAATCCTTATATAAGAGAAATGACTATATCATGCTGAGGCAATCAAACCAGTGAAGTCACAATGAACTGGTCTTAAAAAATTCAAGATACTGGATCACCATTTGGATTATCACAGTTTCTCATCAAATATGATACAAGAGTACATATTTGAACTGTGTGTACTCAAAGCATCTAATTACTTCAAAACAAAAAGGCTACATTCTCAAATTTTTATATTTTGCTTTTATTTGTTTACTCACAGGCACACTTTAAAATCAGGCTTTTAAAATTAAAGGCCAAAACTAGGGGTAAAAAACATAGTCTTAATAATTTAAAACCTAAGATGTTCTGTGGAGTTAAAGGTTTCATACATAAAGACTGTGTAAGATCTCTATCTTTTAAAATAAACAACCAAAAACCAGAGAGTGGGGCAAATTTGTCAATGAAGAATAGCATCAGTTTCAACCTCCCAGAGTATGAAAAACAACAATCTTGGGACTGGATATAAATTATGCTTCAGAATTTGGACTTCAAAGATTCCTTTTCCACCAGCAAATCAGCATATCTATGCTGAAGTTCCTTTTCTCTGTCCTGCTGTCGCTGAACATCTTCTTTCAGACACTTGAAAAGACAAAAATAGTGAATAGTTATTTCACTCATAAGCACAGTGAAAATGAAAAGTATCTTATGGCAGTTTACCATCTCACAAGAGCTGACTTAACTCATGACTCTTAAAAGGCAAAGTGTTTGGACCTAGGAAGAGAGCACAGTGGGTAGGGTGTTTGCCTTGCACTTAGCCAACCTGAATTCAATTTCAGGCACGTAACATGGTCCCCGAGCCCCACCAGAAGTGATCCCTGAGCACAGGGTCAGGAGTAAGGCCTCAGCACTGCCAGGTGTGGCCCCAAAGTCACAGAAAGAAAAAAAGAGGTAAAAGTTTTCCGAAACCAAAAAAATAGTAACTAGGTTTGCTATAAAACCAATACGACAGGCATCCTTTGATTCTGCCAAGTGACTATAATCATGTAAAATATTTAACATCTCAAACACATTATAATATCATCAATAATCACAATGCACAAAAGCACTGAATTTATCTGGGAAAGGGTTCACATGCACATTTTGGAAAAAACAGTAAGCCTGGAGAAAAGAATCTTGACATTCCGGCACTTGTAAAATGTTAAAACAAAAAGATACCAGGATTTAATATACCTTGGAAAGCTATATAAATAGGATGCAATTAAGTGCCAAATCATAAAGATTACCTATCCCAATACAAACAAAAACTCATAAAAGAAAAAGTATTTATATCTAAAGACTGGCCTGGTCTATCCATCTATAAACATATACACAGGCAATTCTAGATTACAAAAACTTTAGGATTTGTCTAAGTCTAAAACTTTAGGATCTCACTGAAATAAAAACAGTTAAGATATACTTCAGAGACCTATACCAGTGTTTCTCAACTGGGGGTCACCTGGCCCCCTGTGGATTCCCCAGAAGATCCCAAGTGGACTACAGGTACAAATCGACTAGGGAGCCAACCAGTGGGGTGGGGTGGGGGAGGGGGTAGAACCACAGGAAGGAACAAAGTGAGAAGGGGGGGCGGGGGGATCATGGCGAGAAAAAGATTCAGAAACACTGGTGTACACAGAAGAGTAGCTCTCTAAACACCAATGCAAGGTAATCCTGTTACCTCTAGCCTCCGGGGGATGGCAGAATCTTCATGTTTCTTGAGTTCTTCAAAAGTGCGTAACTCCAAGTAGGCCTGCTCAATTTGGTCCCACAAGTCATTTAACTGTTTCATGAGCCCCATGGCACGAGACTGGTAACCCCCAAGCAAGATTTTCATCTTCTTTTCCATCTTTGCAGCTCTTTTGGCTTCTGTTGTCATATGACCCCTATTTATCTGGGGGTTGAGAGAAGGGAAGATCACATGAGCACACACAAAAATACAGGCTAAATTGGTGGTTTTCAGTCTTTTTACACCCGTGGACCTGCACCTGTACTGCACCAGCAAGCTATCTGTGGACTGGTAGTTGAAAACCACTAGGCTAAACAAATGGATTAAATGGCATTAAAGGTTCATCTGCAGACTCAAAGCAAAAAGACATAGGAATTTCTTATACGTAAGTTGCTATAACACAATATTAGGCTATGGACTGTCTTACAAATGAAGAATTTTACAGGCTAGTTCTAAATATCTAAATAACTCCACACAATGATTCTATCTCCAAAAAATTCAGATCTGAATTTTATAGAACAGGGAAAGCTAATCTCTACTTCTGAAAATAACATTTGCTGTTATTAGTTACAATGATTTGGAGACTGACTTGTAGTGACCCACCTTCACCATCTATGTCTCAAAATTGTATTTTATATTGCAGATGTAGTAGGCTAAGTATTTTCCAATTAATGTACCATACTTGTGATTCAAAACACAAACCCTCAAACTATAAAACCGCTATTATGCTATAACTCAAAATTTGGAATAAACTTATAGTTATCACATTTAATACTTTTTTCATTATAGGAGTGAAAAAGACACCATGAAATTATGAGACTGACAGGTGGGCTGCCTCTCAAGGATATTCTAAAATTAAGGGTAAAGTAATTTCAATGACATAAACAAAAGAACAGAAGAACATTTTAGAAAGATTTTAATAAAATTAGAGGACCCAGTCAAACAGGTCAGAGAAAAGTCCCAGCTTAGAGGAGAGATGGGTCAGAAGGGAGCAGGCGTGCAATGCAAAATAAGTGAGTATAACCCCTCTTCTCTGGGTGCATGACACTACACAACACGACCATCCTGTTAATCATCGATTGCCTCGAGCAGGCCCCAGTAACGTCTTCTTCATCCTAGCCCTGAGATTATATTCAAGGCTCTTTAGGAGAATGAGACCCATATTGTTACTGGTATTTGGCATATTGGGTACCCCACGGGGAGTTTGCCAGACTCTGCCGTGTATGGGTGCATGATACACTAAAAAAATCTATCACTTAAAAAAAAAATTGTGGGGGAAGGAGGCCACACCTGGCTGTGCTCAGGGCTTACTCCTGGCTCTGCACTTGGGGATGATACCTGGTGGTCTCAAAGAAGCATATGGGGTGCCAGAAATCGAAAGCAGGTTGGCCAGGTACCCTTGTACATACAAGCACCATATCTGCCGTACTGTGTATAAAATTATCTTTTAAAAGTTTTCCTTGAGAGCACAGCAACTTAGATGGGAAGTAGCACAGAAGGCCACTTTGCTCAGTAAATGAAAACAGTAACACAGAAGGCACAACTAGCAATAAACGCTCAGTAAATCCTGGCAATGACTTTAATATCACCTTTGTGAGATTTAACAATTTCTACAAATTTTCTGTTACTGAACTGTTTTTTTTGATAATTCCATCTACCATTTTGTTTTAACAAGCAATATAAAATATTTTGTGCCTGCTAAGGGGACAGGCTTGAGGGGTGGGTGGGAAACTGGGGACAATGCTACAGTGAAGGCCACACTGGTAGTGGAATTGGTGTTGGAACAGTGAACGCTCGAAACACCAAATTATGAACGACTTTGTAAACCACGTGTTTAACTCTGGGGGGGAGAGGCGGGGAGGGGAAGTGCTCCTCAAAACAAAATTTTGTTTAAAATGTACTTTATACTTGTCCATCTCCACGTTCGTTTGAAGTCAAAGTCAGCTAGGTATATGAAACTGGCGGTAGCTAAGGCAAAACCAGGAGGGACACACACATGCTGCAAGTGTGCACATGAAAGCTATCTGTCTTGCACACAGCCAACTCAAGCACCACATATGGTCCCCCAGGCCCCACCAAGAAGGATCCCTGATCACAGAGCCAGGAGTAAACTGTGAGCACAGTGATGGAAAAACAAACCAACAAACAAAACATAAAATGTATCTAAGAAATATTTAAATAGTTTTTTTAAAAAAACTATTCATAGCTGGGGACCACAGAAATAATACAGCGGGTAACGTGCCTGCCTGGCACACCGATCTCTGGCATCCCAGATGGAACATGCACCGCCATCAGGAGTAATTCCTGATGATAATCTTTTATTCCTCCACAATTCGCCTGAAAGATAAATCCATAAATAACATTCTTGATAAAGGGGGTTCTTTTCCTTTAATAAGTAATAAACCTAAGTTTTGTGGCAAGAAATGTCTCTCAGAGCCAATAAATTCTAGAAGCCAGGCTGCACAGCATACTGGGTGACAGTTACCCTTTCTACCTGGCCCTGCCAACCAGAAGTGCTAAGGTGCCACATGCCATTAACTTCACTGCCTCCGCTTCTCTATCAGTTAAGTGGCAGTCACTGCTCAAACTCATTCAAAAACGTAGATAATGCACATAAAAGTGCTTCCTTAGCCCCCCGGTGAGTAGCCCTGAGTCAGTCATCAACAACTGTTAGCTTTGATGACATTTTATAAGTCTAAGAATGTAATCATGTTGCTTTTATTTCTAATGGACAAACAGGTAGAAAATTAGCCTCACAGCCCTCGTTAAAATTCCTACTCTTTTTAATAAATGATGAAGCAGACCACCCCCTTCCTAGAAATAAAGCAAAGAAAAATAGCCATCATTCAAGTAAACAATGTGCCTCCTGAGGACTGCACGAAGTTCCAAACTAGAGTATGTCTTCTGAAGCAACAGTCTTCAACCAGGCCAAACTTGATCAATCATGATGAGGAATTCTGGTTTAGTCATAGCTAGCCGGATCAACTGTTACCACTTATCAAGGCCTGCCAAAGAGTCTCATTCCTAAAAACAAGTGAGTAACGGGTGATATTCAAGTTCCTTACGCCATAGTTCAGCATTCTTAAATACCAACATCCTACGGGACTCAAATCTAGTATGAATTCAAATATACATTGCAAAAACCTTACGAGCACAGCATTTCAAATTAGTATAGACAGTGCCTACGTAAAATGAGTTGTATGTCATTTACACAGGTTAAGAGGTAACGCAACGATCTATATTCTGTTCTATACACCATGAATAGCCAAGTCCTAGTTTGAAGTATAGCATAATATTCAGGTTTACAAAGTGTTTAATTAGTCACCAATTAGCATGACTAATTGGCATGATTAATATGCCTTGGTGGCTTTTACTTTTTATCTGGGAATTACTTCATCCCACTTTTCAAGTCATTTTTTATTCTCCAGCCACCAAAGATTTTGAAACTGCAAGTTGCTAGCTTCGGCTTAATGCCATAATTTGAGGCCAGTTTTCTGGCTCAAATACTATGATAAGAGTGCAAACGATATGGAAATAAATTTTACAAAGTCAGCCATTAAAAGTATTTTATAATTGTTTTAAATTCATTTTAGCTTTATCTGATCATTAAATGCAAAGGAAAATATCCAAACACTTGCCAAAAAAAGTGCTCATCCTATGTCTGCTCAATAAACTTTAGGAAGAAAAAAATATGTACCAAGTAGTCTTTTTTTCTAACAAATCAATCTCAAGATGGATGTCAATCAGCCCCAATTTCCCAGCCTTACTTATATACACACAGTGTGCACAAAATACAAAGAATCAGAATGAATCAAATTTATTAGAGCTTTATTTCCTAGCCATTCAAAAAATAAACACAATTAAATGATGGGAACTGTCCAAAAGGACAAATTCTCTTGAACAAATGAAGAACTCATTTAAGAGTTTGCACCTTCATCTGAATTTAGAGATAAAATTTAAAGTCTTAAAACATCTAACAGAATGGATCAGGGAATAAACACCTGGTTTGTTTGTCAGGGTTTTTCCTGCCAAGTGATCAAAACATTTAATCAACAAACCACCCAAATTATTAGAACAAAATTTCAAATAATCTCAAAATAAAATTCATTATTAACTGTTAGGAATTTAAAGGACACCTGTAAATTAAAGTTGAAAACATTCCAAATGAAAGAATAAGATGCAACAAAGAAAAAAAAACCATATCTACAATTGTGTAAGGAGACAAATTTAATGCATAATTTACTCCCAAAATCTGAAATCTGCACCAAAATAGAGGGGGTGGAGTGAAAAACAAACAAACAATAAATAACAAATAAATCCATCATACTAGTGTAATACTTCTAGGTCTACTTGAAAACTCTCATAATAAAAGCTTTTAAAATTCATTTATTCTAAAATCTACTTTTTAAGAATGTACATACACAGGGCCAGGAGACAGCTCAAACGGCTGGAAATCAGGTTTTAGATGAGAGAGGTCCTTGTTTCATCCCAAATACCACATGGATCCCCAAAGCACTTCCAGAAGCAACTCCCCAGGATTACTGGGAGTAACCTCTGGGCACCACCTGGGTGTGACCCAGAAATCAAACAAAAATAAGTAACAAGGTATACACAATATACAAAAGTAATAAAGCATGAAACATCAAGACAATAGAAACATTAAAATTCACAATTATTTCAGAACACCACAACCTGCATAGGACAAGCTCAACTAAAATCTACAATTATGCAAAATTCATTTATATTAACTAACATCTAAACTTTAGGTCATTTACTCAATCTTCCGCCTAAAATCAACCAATGTCTCAAGTTACAGATAATCCTAAGAATTTGTGGGCCGGGGATTAGAGTGATAGTACAGTGGGTAGGGCACTTGACATGTAGGCGGCCAACCCAGGTTCAATTTCCAGCATCCCATATGGTCCCCAATGCACTGCCAGGAGTAATTCCTGAGTGCAGAGCCAGGAATAACCCCTGAGCATCGCCAAGTGTGACCTTCCCCTAAAAAAAAGCCCCTCCACCTCCCAAAAAAAGAATCTGTAGAACAAAAAAGTAAGCCACTCTGTAGTTTAAGGTAATATCACCTATCAGAGTGGCACAAACCTGACGAGATAAGGGAGAGAATTTCCTATTCACTAAAAACATGTTATTTGCGTATATCTCAT